GACCTACAGGACTCAGACCAGGGGCTTTCTCGACAGGTGCTCTAACCACCAAGATATGCGGCAGTGATCAGCCAAAGAGTGTGGAGTCATATTTCTCTTAATACAACCATTGAAAACGCTTTGAATTTGCTAGAAATGTCTACGCCTATAGTTCATAACCTAGGCTGTTCCCAGGGTGTTGCAAACTCCTGATAGCTTGAGGGGAATGTACTTGACACACGTCCACCACTACGCGAAGAACAAAATAATTTTCCTTTCGACGAACTTGCTAAGAAAACATCACGTCGCATGCAATAGTTTTTGCTAGAGTACAGTGGTGAACTATGTGCTCAGGAAGCACATCAATCTAGCAGATGAGATCAGAGTTCGTGCACGTCTCAATAGTCATTGGTCAAATATCCACACACTCATATTTCATGTACCTCTTTATCGCTATTCCATAGTTCACACTAACATGTGATGCTTGCTAGGCCCAGCAGCTCAAACATAATCATTACTGGCGCCACAAAAGTGACGCCAGCAACAAAACTATTAAAGTGGCGCTCCGCACCCAGCGTAACATTTATGTCAGTTGACCCTCAAAGCATCGCGAGTCAGTGTCAACCATGGAATAGTGAGAAAAAGATTATGCAAGAGTGTAGATATTCGACTAATTATTATTGCGTCCGTTAGGAGTTCTGATCTAATACGATATCTTTGGGCTCGTAATTATCAAACTAGTTGCACACGTAAATGCATAGGCTTTGCTATAGCCAATACTAGACTAAGTGGGAATAGTGTGGTTGTCATTTCATTCCTACCTTGCGCTGGACACCGAACCGTCAGGAGCAATATTCTTGCCGTTCCTTTCTGCGATATCCTAAGAATATCCTCACAACCAGTCCCTTGCAGGCTCTATAAATTCTCGACGCTCATGTTGAGCTCTGAAGCCTTGCGGATCTGTTCCTTCGTCTGCGCGGTAGCAAGCTTCCGCACGTTCTGACGTTGATAGTGCAGGGTGTGTATCTCTGATTGCAAATACATGACAGGACGACGTACATGTATTTCAATATCAGCGGGCAATGGGTGTGACCACCCGCTTCAAGCTTGGATGACCCAACTAATTACTTCCTGCAATACATACAGAGTAATAAAGCCTCGCATCTCAAGGCATGGGTCATGCTTTGCACAGAGTAGATTCACTGACGCATGACCCTTGTTATAATATTATGCCCAGCTTCACAACAGATGGTATCCAGATACTCCCAAAGGGCAGCGTGTGCATTCAGGAAACCGTACTTAACTCATGCTTTCTCACTTGAAACAAATATCCATGATTGACCTCGATCAAATCCCATTCACACACTGCACAAGTGATAACACAAAGATCGGATCTGGTACCTTATGTAAGTGATTAAGTTTGAGAATGTACTGTCGATTGCGAAACCTTTTGTGCTTTGTATATTCTTGCCGTTTCTTTCTGCGATATCCTAATACTATCCTCCCATCGTCTTGTTGGGGATTGGCTGTGTTCACACTCGGATTACAATCTTTCGACACAACTAGTCCCGACACAACTAGTCCCTTGCAGGTTCTATCAATTCTCGACGCTCATCTTGAGCTCTGAAGTCTTGCGGATCTGCTCCTTCGTCTGCGCCGTAGCAAGCTTCCGCACGTTCTGACGTTGATGGTGCAGGGTGTGTATCTCTGATTGCAAATACATGACAGGATGACGTACATGTATGTCAATATCAGCGGGAAATGGGTGTGACCGCCCGCTTCAAGCTTGGATGACCCAACTAATTACTTCCTGCAATACATACAGAGTAGTAAAGCCTCGCATCTTAAAGCTCATGCTTTGCACAGAGTAGATTCACTGACGCATGACCCTTATTATAATATTATGACCAGCTTCACAACAGATGTTATCCAGATTCTCCCAAAGGGCAGTGTGTGCATTCAGGAAACCGTACTCAACTCATATGAAACAAATATTGGTGATTGACCTCGATCAAATCCCCTTCACACAATGCACAAGTGATAACACAAAGATCAGATACAGAAAAGCTGGTACCTTATGTACCGGTAAGTGATGAAGGCGGAGAAGAAACTGTTGTTTGCGAATACTGTTGTGCTTTGTATAGCCTCTGAACATGTACATAATAATTGGATTTCAAGATTCAATGGTCATGAACAAACCATTCGTCACCGGAAGTGTCTCGACTCAGAAAAGAATCCTCTTAATTGGGATTCTGCTGATGAAGATGTGGTGTTTGCAACAGAGAGTAACACTTCAAAGTTCAAACATCACGCTCAAAGAGACGCAGGCTTATGAATCATTCGTCGATTACCCGTTCGGTATTGCACAGTGCACGAATGGCCTTTGCAAGAGTAGATAAGAGTTTGCACTGAAACAACAGCGAGACTATCTCTTCCGCCACCTTCGCCAGTGCCTAGTCATGGTCAATCACTGATACTCTGGGAAGAGTACGAGCAGCTACACACCACGAGAGATAATAGCCATTCAACACATATCGAACACGGAAGACGATCTCTACCGGCGCGGCCAAACGCTATGGCTTTGCGCCGTAAGTCTTTACCCGGTCCTCAGCAGAGCACAACCGAATCAGATCCCTACCTGGTTCCCAGGCCTCGTACGGATGGCAGGCTGAGAGCTGACCCGACCCTTGGCGTCTCCACCTCATCGCAGCGTAATATGAGCAGAGTCTCCCAGCAACTTCCAGTTCCTGCTTCTGCCGCTACGGAGTATCTCTCTCAGAATCCACCGAAATTACCTCCATGCTCACCTACCCTGTCAACAAGCCGTAAAGCAGGCGCACCCCCATCGCCTTGGGGCTGAGTTCGTGGACGCATGAGCAAATGGCAAGCAGCAAAAATGGTCATCAAAACGTTCAAAAGCCCCTGTTATTTACAGTACATGGATACTCTTTTCACACAAATTATCGAAAATAATATTTATTTCGCTTTGCAAGTGTAATATCTTTCCTGATATTATTATATTTACACGGTAAAACCAGGTGCAAGCGACCTCTGGGTTTAGCGACCACCTGATCTTACCGACCGTTCTTCCATGCACAGACAGTTCTACACAGACACTGTGCGACCTGGTTCTAAAGATACCCTGGCTTTAACGACCTCTTCTGCTTGTGCCGTGGGGTGTTCGCTTAAACCAGGTTTTTACTGTACATGTGTTTTCATATCGGAATTGTCAGTGAACACACACGACAGCCATATGTCACGTCAAGGAAGGATGTTTCTTGAACTATAGAGAGAGAGACAGCGAGAGAGAGAGAGAGAGAGAGAGAGAGAGAGAGAGAGAGAGAGAGAGAGAGAGAGAGAGAGAGAGAGAGAGAGAGAGAGAGAGAGAGAGAGAGAGAGAGAGAGAGAGAGAGAGAGAGAGAGGAGAATGAGAGAAAGACAAATGAAAGAGGGAGATGGACGGGGTGAGAGACGTATCTCATGACAGCGGTTAGCTAATGCTGGTTTAAAACTTTGCTGTCGAATTTATTCTTTGGGTATCTAAGAAAATATGAGCGCTGGAGATGCTAACAAACATCCTGACAACTCACTAAATGCAACTTTCTCTTGCTTCAATGCCACTAATGTTGTGGAACGTAATGGCTACTCTAAGTGATTATTGTATGGAAGTCAAGCTATACATACACCATGTCCAGATTAGGAATCATTCCTTCACGCTTGCCCTGGCACTTCATTTGAAGAAGACCATTCCGTTTATCTACCTTTAATTTAAAGAGTCATCACAGATCAATACACTTAACTAGTGGAATTGCCTCTGACCCTGAAGAGAGCCTTGACAGAATTAGACTACGACTAGTTGTCTGACTCTTGCATCAATCTTAGAATGGCTCTACTGTGACCTACTGATCATCGTCTATCTTGACTACCACCACCAACATAACGGCCATAGACGATACGTACATCAGGAGATATATCACATAATTTTAAAAAAGGCCCATGCGTGGAGGTTCTGAGATGAAGTTTCCACAATGCCGCGTCTAAGACGCAAATGGGGACGGTGATGGTAGATCCCCCCGTTTTTGAATAAATGATTGGTTTTCTCATTGTAGTATACTGGACAAGAACGCATATCTAGCTCGTGTTGGCGATCACATGATGCAGACGGTACAGTTCTCCAAGATCCAGTGTGGCCTAAACATACGGTAGCGTAGCGGCTATCCTGCAGTCACTCATGCTGGCATGCAGAACACTCGCCACAGATTTTTAGATTCCCAGTGTAAATCAATGAACTTGTCTAGTTCATGAGGAACTCAGGAGTGAAAACATAATTCTTGAATATGGTGTACAATTCAATGTTTTACACAGCATGGGATTCTGTTCCCCCAACCAAAGAAATGAGTCAACGCCATGAGAATGACGATACGGAGGAGGGAGTAAGAAAAAGAGGCTGGTACGAACATGTACATGTAAAATGAAAAGAAAAAAAACATTGAAACACCAAAAGAAGAAAAAAATGTAAAATTCTAAATGCCTATCTTTCTGTGGCCACCGCCAATATGGAAGATTGTTCTTCCCAATCACATCTGGGTGGTAATAAAGATCGGGAGAGCCGCGCAAGCAAAAAAGGCATGATCGTAGCATTGAGTATATTCAATTATTCGTTTCGTGAAAAGAAAGGATCCGCTACGGATACCAGGACAAATAGCGAATAGGCGATTGCCTGAAGCTTGAAGTAATCCAATACAGAATGTGTGTTGCAATACGCATACAAATTTAGGAGAGCCACATGGCAACATGTTGTCATTCAATGTTAGTACAGAAGACCAAATACTCCTCCATTCCGCTCTTCATAGTTATTAGTGTCTTAGTACCAAGAATGCGTATCTAGGCCTTTCCTGCATTTCTTTTGAAGCTGGCGAAAGATGTGCTTGAACGTGTATGTTAATTCTGCATGGAGATAGTCATGTGAGCGTTGAGAGACCATATTAGGGGAGTGCTTACTACTATGACAAAAGTAGAGGCTAATTTACAGCAAATACAGTTTTTCGTGTTGTTGAAGATCTATCAGGTGCATGGTCACACAACATAATTTTGAGACGACCCTCTTCTTGATCACGTATGTTATCAACTAAGAGTGGGTCTCTGATGTCGCCTATCAAGTTAGCCAAGGCTGTTTCGTCCAGATGTGATTCGTTTCTCTCCCGTCTACGTCCCTCTTGCCGACGCCGCAACATGCGGCGAACGGAGAGAGTCCTGAATCTTCCGTAGCCTCCCTCCTTGGCTAGGCATTGTCGACAGAGGAGTGCTGTTAGCACCAACGCAGTGGGCGTAAGGAAGAGTGCCCCACTGACCCATAACACATAGTTTTCGGTCATCTGCGACTCGTACATGACACTGTAGAGTACCGAGATACAGATGGAAATACAGAGCATGAACGACTCCCATGTGTTGTAGCCAACACCCGCAAAATCACCCTTCCGAAGAGGCCTGAACAAGGAAGCAGGAAGACCACACAAACTGAAATTATGATGTCATGCAGCAGGAGGATGATAAAATCCGCTTGGTCTGGGCCATCGTCTAGCTCATCTACATAATTGCATGCAGACACTTGTTTGGTTGCGACAAGGAATGACAAGCACCAGTTGCGGGTGAACCCAAACATAGCCATAACACGAACACGTAATGGCCATCAAGCAGGGTCAATCGTCCACTCCACACTCGCGGAGGGTACAGTATCAGGTTGAGAAAACCCCACTAACTAATCATGGCATTGTCAAGTTTCAAGAATGGATTTACAAGTGTAAGGAGACTTATGACCAGGCCAATATTTCAACTTGGGAAAATAAATTTACTTCTACACATTTCACCTCTTGCACTATTTGGCCTAGGCACAAGGTTGGCCAGTCACCAAACTTGGCTGTTTGCCCTTCTCTTCCTCAATTTTACATCTCCACATCTTCTGGCTTTAATATTTTCCTCTTATTGCACCCAGCTAGTAATGTCACAGAGACCCATGGTCGAGTAATCTGGTCGGATTTCATCACCGCTACCATTCTTCACTATACATTCATGGTTAAAGGTTGTGCAAAATATTCATTAGTTTAAGGGTAAAGTTGGAAATGTGAAACACTCTGAAGAAAAACTTGACTCGAACCAAGAACCCTCGCTTATGGCCAGTGATACCCTGCCACTAAGCGGTGTGCTCGACACCCAAGCAGCAACAGTTCAACATTAGCCTCGTAACAAGGATCAAAAAAGAAAGAAATGTACGTACCGAACTGTGCTATACACAATCAGAAGTAGCAGAAGGAATCCAGATGTCACCAACAGTCTGGACACCGCGCTCGAAAACGGTAGTGATCCAAGCAGGCCAATGGCAATACGCCTCAACAGGTTCACAGCTGACCACCAGCGGCACTCATCAGTGTACATGCAGCACGCCTCGTCCACGAAACCCTTCAACATGATATGACCATGTGTTCGTCGAATGAGTAATAGCAATGGCGGTGGGAGGATAACTATGGCCAGGATTGCGACTGCTGCCAGGACATAGCCTAGATGCGGTGACACATAGCAATCTACGGAACCATCCATGGCAAGCACCTGCCTGTCGTTGATTTTCACACACCAGAACACACTGAGAGCTGTGAAGGTGAGCATAAAGTAGCTGTAGACAAGAACAAACCACATGACCCGCACTAGTTTCATGTTGCTCTGAAGTCTTGCCAATCGAGTTCCAAGGTAGTTGTAAGATCGTGCAATGCGTATAGCCAGGAAGATGAGAAGAAGTGTGATTGGTTGGATGAGGAGTAGAGTGCTGACTTTAAGTCGATTTAGGTCCTCTTTGAGACAGACGTGTCCGAGTCCGAAAGTCAACACGGTGTAGATGCTGCTGTAGACGAATGTAACTTCGTTCGGGAAGATATACCAAGACGTCTGAATAAAAACCAAAAGAAGCAGAAATCATGGCAGGCTCTAGTTTCAACATACATGTAGTACGAGTTCCTTCCGAACACAGCACATCACTGATACCTTGCTTCATAACTTTCGTCATGTATGATCTTCCGATCTATTCTAGTCATCATGTGACCTTTCTGCTGTTTGGTACTTTGTTACAGAATGCAAAAACATACTCCACTTGCATTCTTTAATCTTTGACCTGTGGTTCGCTATTTGAAACCAAGAGCGAGATTTGAAGTTGCGTCATCGAACAAAATGCTGTGTGGTGCCTTCAATCAGGCTTCATGGACATGGTTTCTCTGATAAATAAACATGATTCAAAGGAAGTTGCGCCAACTGATATGGATGTAAATAGACTTTCATTATGTGCTAATATGTATTTCAAAACCTAATAATAACCATTATCGACTTCTTAGTATTCGACCCCACTTATTTTCCTGATACCTAAAGCAGTCAAATATATCGCGTATTTGACTGCTTAATCAAATACACAACATATTATTTTGACTACTTATATTTGACTCCTTAGAACCTCGTGGACATCGAAATTTTCTCTCTAATTTAGAAAAAGAAATTTTTGAAGAACGCAGAAATACACAAGATAGGATTCGAACCCACAACCATGTGAATCTCAGTCACTCTTCCTTACCACCCAGCCACTGTGCTACCGATGCTGAACCTTGTTTAACCCTAGAAGTACCAATATGTCAACTAACAACTGCTGCTGGGCCAACTTGCTGGATTTTTCTCAGCCAGGTTGGTCATTCTTTGACTGCTGTGATAAAAACATTTACGAGCGAAAGGAGAACGTTGTATCGCGACTCATAGCAAATGAATAATTTTCGTTCGACGTCGTGTCCGGAGACCATCTTCTTGATCAAACCTCAAGTAGCTGAGTAGTTCCTGGAAACTATTTTTAGGGATTTTACTTGATTACATTGTATATGGCGTCCATTCCTATCCAACCGAAGGGCTGTCAGCAGATTATTGCGGGTACAGAGGACGCCTCTTGCGTAAATTTGCGAAACCAACGCCATGATATTGCCTTCACTCAAAGTGGAGTCCTCTCCAATTTTTTTGTTTTTTCCTCCTACCTTTTGCACTTGATCATGACATGGATCATATTCGGGTAAATAAATGCAAATAATGCATCTGCCCCATTTTCAAAATTGTGAATATCTCGGAAAAGCCCGCATACTTCGGAAGCAACAACCGGTTGCGCGCGTTCGCGCTTGCTTGGTGCAACACATTTTCCACTACCTACCACTTTGCCAGAGAACCCAGAGAACCTAGCTTCATGAAGGAAATCCTGTACGAGTTTTGGAGATTGATGTTCTGTTATGTGTATGGCTCCATAGCTTTATCACCACCATTATCCGCTTGCTCCCTCGACTCCGGTCCCGTATCAGACTGATCGAGAAGCCGGAGCAATTAGTATTCACTCATCTTCATCTGGAGCATATAACTATGACTATGTGTCCCTGTGTTCGGTCACTTCTAATTGTTCGAGCACAATGCCCCAGGCACTCTGCTCGCATTCATCCCCAACCTCCTGCCCAAAAATTATCAAAATCTAATGAAATGCTTTATCGGCAGCGACACTGCGCTTACTAGGCACCGGCGGATTATGCCCGCGAAATCATGGAATTATGCTTTTATGGATTCTCGCATTATGCTCGCCAAATCCTCATGATTATTATGCTCTGGGACGCGGGGATACATATTCACTTTGTTGTGCTTATGGAGCCTCAAAGTTCGGAAAATTGTGCCTTTTTCGTACTTGCAAGTGGCCATAGGTACAACAAAATACATGAGTATCCCCATACCAAGGTGTCCATGCATACTAGACATCAACCTGGAAAAGAGAAAACATTACTTCTTCTATTCATTAGTTGACTTCTTTTGCTTTGAAAGATTTTTCCTTACCTTTGAAAACTGTCATGTTCAATTGTCTTCGTAATCGTCATACTCGTCCAACCGACTGTCACCCTAACCCTGCGAATTCTCATAATCAGCTCATCTCTCCCGTAGCTCCAGCTCTCCTTCCATCATTACCGAACATCAACTATACCTCAATTTGTTGAATTATTAGAGCAATCGGTTAATCGTTTTTCTTTGTAATTTTCCATTCATTTTCTGCTCTAATTCATATTTGCTTTGTTTTCCTAGCTTACTATTGCGTGGCTGGCTCAACGCGCTTGTCTCAGGGGGTTCTGTCCCTGCATTAGCTATGCTTGTCACATGCTATGAGATTGTGTCTAATAATAATAATAACAATACCCATAGCTCTAAGATCCAGAGGTCATGACTTCGTAACAAGCATAATGTACATGTACATGTACGCGGAGTTTTGCGGACTACCCATCACTATCTCGTCCGCCCCGGGATACCTGATAAAGGCTGATTCACTCGCATCTTCTGCTACATGTACTGTATCAGGGTGAGAAAGAACTTTGAGAAGACGAGTTCGAGCACACAAAATGTATTTCCATGATTTCCACCCTGCTTTTCATTGAAAATACTATCTGCCTGACCTCCGAACCCTTTGCTTTGCAGACCACCAGCACTGATCAGGTGCATTGTACACAATTGTGACGCCTACATACTAGTACTGTGATACAATCATGCAGTTATGCTCCTACCTCCGAAAGGATGCCAATTATGCTCCAAATTTTCAACCATCAAATTATGCCAATAATTATGCCGACATAATCCGCCGGTGCCTAGCGCTTACTGAACATGGCTTCCGCCAGACCAACGTAAACTCAAATAGGCCTTGACAGATTATGCTAGCATAATATTTCGCATAATTCCTACAAAAATCGAATAATCGCATGATTCGAGGCAAATTGCATACGAATCGCATAAAATTGGAATAATCCGCCTGTTCGCATCAAATTCCATACAGTTGTACATGTTCTACAAGTCCAAGTAGATGCACCAGGAAGCCGTAGGTTTACGACTCCCTTGAGAACATGTCCAGTCCACTACAAACAGTGACGGTCGTAGCTAGGTCGAACGGTGCGTTGACCCCGTTGAACTTTTGCTACTACAGTACAACGCCCTCTACAAAAAAATCCCCTGTTATTTTGCACAGAACCTATAAACATTAGCAGCATATGTGAGCATAATGCAGCATAATAATGATAACCTTTAGCATAAAAATAGCATAATTCTGCAATTTTTCAGCAATGCGAAAAGCATAATTTTCACGAAAATATTAGCATAATCTGTCAAGGCCTAAACTCAAAGGACGTTCCTAGAATATTAAAACGGCCCTGGCACTTCATATCGTACTATGCTGCAGATGACATAGTGAATCACTTTCCAAACTTAGGACAAACAAATTTGTCTGTTTCGGCAGGATTTGGGATTTCGATATTGACCATGACGACACTTGAAATGTGCATTATTACCATGTCCATATGTACAAACCACCACCTTCATGGTCCCCAATCTCCTTGCTCCCAAATGTATTCCTTTTCACGTTATTCACGTGTGGTTCTAAGCCAAATTCTCCCTTTTATTGATGCTTATGGTATGTGGAGTCATGTGATGCCGCGCGGTACTTCTAGGTAGCACCTACCCCCTGGCATTTCGGAACGGTACTAAATTTTTGAAAACACAACCCACTGCCATTAACAAAATACATAAAAGTCACAAAATTTGGGGAGATTCTAAGCCCCCATATAACAGTAATCCCATTTTGAAATTTGCAAATGCATCATAATTATGATGCCTTCTACTTCTAGGGTAAAAAAATATGCAGTCCTACTTCTTGTAGCATGCTTTGATCGCCTCATTGGTGCAATGCGATTGGTCATCTCCGTGCCTGCAGTCTTGTGACATGTCAGAATGTCTTTTCAGACTTGTACTTGTGTGTATCAGATCTCGAGATCTCGCGGTGATGCGGGCACGCGTGCACTGCACAATCACAGTTCATTATCTTTCTTGTCACAAGGAAACACCCAAACACCAGGCACTACTGACTGTACACATAATCATTTTGTTGCGGAAGCATCCCAGTCGTCCTAGATCACTGCGCTGTCTCAGTTATCTGTGCAAGGACAGGTACTGACGTGATTACCGTGTTCAGTGTTGGGTGGCCGTGGAGATAGGTGCGGACTGCGGACAGAGTGCAGCAACACGCATCTATCAGCACCAGGTACATGTATACGCACATTCCGCACTGCACTGCGCAGGCAGACTCCGAGTCAGCAGATGGACTGAGCTGAGGCCAGACTCGATCGACCTCCGCTCCCGAGGCCAAATAAAAAGCCAAGACCACGTAGACTTTACGTGGCTCAAGCCTCACCGACTGCATGCACTACAGGCCAGGGTAAGGGCCCTTACACACTACGTAGAAAACCGCTTTTTTGTTGCGTTCCTGTAAAAGTTGCCATGTCGACTGACGTCATATGGCACGAAATCTAAAAAGTTGCGTAAACGTTTTACTCAGATCTCGGACGGGTGTAGAAGGCTGCTTTTTAGCTTTTTAGCTTTTATGCCTTCCCGCGCTTTCGGACTTCAACTTCTTGTTGGTGTTTTTGCTGTTTGGTGCTAGCATGCTGTGTGGATTTCCGTGTTTCAATTTCAGCTGTCCATTGGACTTTTCGCCTGCTTCTGAAATTCTCGTACCTGAACTCGTGTTGTTCAAGCCGTAGTAGACTCGATCTTGTTTGATTGCTGAGCGCGACACGATGCCGAAAATCCAGTGCACAGAAGAAATGGAGGCGAAGCTCATGGAGCTGTGGGCGATATATCAAAAAACAAGGCGTTCCAAACTCGTTCTCAGGGTGAGCTGTCCACAAGTTGCGACCAATTCTGTATTTGACGGTACCATTCCGCAACAGCATGCTGAGCATCGTCGTGACCATGAAATTTGAGCAACTGCGATCAGTCATCTAGAAAATATCAAGAACAGGACCGCCATCAGACGACTTCACTAGCTTCTGCAGGTCCTGCAATATCATGGCGGCAACAATTT